CTCCGGCGCCGGGGTTTCTGCTCTTTCGGTCTTAGTGGTCGTTATGTTCGTTTGCAGCCATCTCCCTCTTTTCTGGCGAAGAATGAGACGGCTGCGTTCTGGAGGGGGCTGTGGGTTGTTGATGCCTGGTTGGTCAGGCCGGGGGTGCATCATGTGTTGTGTCCGGTTGCGGCTCTCTGCCGTTATTTGCGCGCCATGGCTTCCGTTGCCGGGGTGCGCTGTGGGTTGATCTAGTTTCCCTTCTTCCCTGTTCCCAGGTTCGGGACTCTCAGGTTGTCCGCAGGATTATTAAGTGTAGCCAGCCTGCGGTTTTCCCCCGGGCCCACGACGTTAGTAAATTTGCTGCTTTGGCGGCTGTCTTTGGCAACATGTTTTGGGTGGACATTCGAGCCCGGGGTTTTTGGAGATCGAACAGGGTCCTGGCCGCTCGCTACCTAGTGAATGTTCCTGGGCCTCGTCGGGCCTGTGTTGCTTTGGGTCGGCGGTTGCAGCCAGTTGTCTCGACTTCGCGTTGAGGAGTGAGGACGGCCCGCCGCCCGGGTAAGTCCCTGGTTTTCCTTATCTTTGGGTAGTTAGCTCCGGGGAGTTGAAGGGGCTCTCCCCAGAAAACCAGCGTTGAATGTAATGAAACGCCATTTTCTGGGTGAGCCCCGGAGGCTCCCCGGCATTCCTCCCTTCTCCAGTCGGCGGTGTTTTTCACATTTTTGACATCCAGCCTAAGAACTAATGGTTGGGTCGCCGACAGTGGGGACTGGGGCTTCCCCCTTCCCCCTCCCGGGGAGGGGGGGTTGCACAGGCGGCGGTGCGGCGACATGATGGCGTCATGATGGTTATCTAATTTTCGCTTGGGGAGTTCTGTCCACCTGTTCGGTCTTCGGTCGCAATAGTTTACCAGAATAGGGGTTTGTTTTGGGGCGCCTACCTTTCTGGGTGCCTATCCCGGTCGATGGCATAGAATGCTCCCAATCATACAGGGGGTCTCTATAGGCCATTGCTCCTCATGCCTCTCTAGAGGGGACCAGGTTCTGGCTCGTGGTCCCCAGTAGGCAAGAACTCCATGCATTGACTGATGCCAGAAAGTTATACATATCCATTCAGCCTGGATAGCTCCGAGGAGCCGAAGGGGTTCACCCAGAAAATGGCGTTTCATTACATTCAACACTGGTTTTTTGGACATCCAGCCTTAGAACTGTGGGTTGGGTTGCTAGTGGGTGGGTCTGAGGCTTCCCCTTTCCCCTCCCAGTGAAAGGGGGGGGGAGGTTGTGCAGACAGCGGGGTGGCGACATACTGACTTCATGCTAGTTTGCTCATTTTTGTTTGGGGAGTTCTGGCCACCTGTTCGGCTTTCGGTCGCAATACTTTTACCAGAAAAGGGGTTTGTTTTGGAGCACCTATCTTTCTGGGTGCCTGTTCCGGTCGATGGCAGACATAGAATGCCCCAAACCACAGAGGGGTCTCTATAGGCCATTGCTCCTCGTGCCTCTCTATAGGGGGCCAGGTTCTGGCTCGTGGTTCCCGGTAGGCAAGAACTCCGTGCATTGACTGATGCCAGAAAGATATATATACACATCCATTCAGCCTGGATAGCTCTGGGGAGCCTCCAGGACTCGCCCAGAAACTGGCGTTTCGTTACATTCAACGCTGTTTTTTTGCAGCAATATTATTCAATAGTGTGTAGTGTGATATACAGTGACTCCTCGATTTACGAATGCCCTTCTTTATGAACTTTGTGTTACGAGCCCAATTTCTTCTTAAAATCTGAATTGGATTACGAGCTTTGCCTCGGGTAACGTTGTTTGTTGATACAGGTATGGCCGACCTAGCACGTGGTGGCATGGCGACAGCGCTTCAGTTTTCCAGTGCCTCCTGCCTAGTGACAATCATGCTTGAATTCTTTTTTAAAGAATTAAAGTGTTTTTCAGATTTTTGGGTATTTGAACATAAAAATTATTATTATATATCTTACCATGGGTCTCAAAGAAGCCAGTGGTAAGGTTCAATTCAAGAAAACACATATGAAGATGACCATAGAGAAAAAACAAGAGATTATTCGTAAACATGAAAATTGTACACGGGTTGTTGAACTATCTAGGCAGTACAATAAATCTATGTCAACTATATGCACTGTAATTGCTAAGAAAAAGGACATTATCAGTGCTAAAGTGGCAAAAGGCATATCAACAATCATGAAACAAAGAATAAAAACACTTGAGGATTTTGAAAAGCTATTAATTTGGATACACGACAAGGAGTTAGCAGGCGATGGTGTTTCAGAGGACATCATTTGTCAAAAAGCAAGGCATGAAGGCCTTTCAAAGAAAACCCCCTGGAACAAGTGATGCAGATACGAATGAGTTTAAAGCGAGTCAGGGATGGTTTGAGAAATTTAGAAAAAGAAGTGGCATTCAGTGTTGTGAGAGTTGAGTGTTGTGTAAGTTGGTGGAGGAACACAGCGAAGAACTGATCACTGAAGAAATCCTAGCCCTTCACAAGGAGGAGCAACAAGAGGCAGCTGAGGAAATTTGTTCAGGAGAGGAGGAGGCAGTACAAAATATCCCTTCCTCAATAATTAAGAAGTGGTGTAGACTATGGGAAGAAATGCAAACTTTTGTTGAAACAACTCGCCCAGAGCAAGGTGTAGTAGGCTTAAGGCTTGAGCCTTAACCTTTTTAATGACACTGTGATGGTTTTTAGTGGGAAAAACAAGCGGTGAGCCACAAGCAGGTCCTAGTGGTATGCAGGCAAAACGTGCCAGAAAGAGAGAGTACCCCAGAGAAGTCATCACTGCCTGATGGTGACTCTGTCTGCCCCTATCCTCAGTTTCATTACCTGTTCTTTAACTGTTGTATTTCTCATGATATGGCTGTACAGTAATTTAGGTTGAGTCTTTGCCTTGCTTGCTATGTCATTTTCATATTGCCCTTCTGCCTCTCTTCTCACCCTGACGTATTCATTCCTGGCACTCTGGTATCTTTCTCTGCTCTTAAGTGTCCTGTTATTTTTATTGTTTCTCCATGCCCCTTGTACTTTGCTGCTTTGCTAGCTTACATCCCTGATTAAACCATGGGTTTCTTATCTGCATTTCGTTTTTTTACCTTTTGGACTGGGACAAACTTGTTTGTTGCCTCCTTACACTTCTGCGTGATGTAGTCCATCAAGTTTTGGGCCGTCTTTCCCTCAAACTCTGTTTCCCATGTTACATCTGTCAGGAATTATATTATCTCCTCGTAGTTTCCGCTTTCGGAATGCCAGCCTTTTGTTTTCAGTTCCCTTTCTTGAGTTTATTAATCCTTCTTTGACCAGATACTCAAACGTCAGTACACTGTGATCACTCATTCCTACTCGGGCCTCAAAACTGATTTCCCTTATGTTTGAGTCGTTCAGGGTGAAGACTAGGTAGAGTCTCGCTGGTTCATCGTTGCCTCTCATTCTTGTGGGTTCCCTGACATGCTGGCTTAAAAAGTTTTATGTCGCCACCTCCAATAGTTTAGCTCTCCATGTATTCTAACCTCCATGCCGTTCCTTGTTCTCCTAGTCCATCCTTCCATGATTGAAGTTCCCCATGATGAGCAGATGGGATCTGTTTCTACAGGCAGCAAAAGCTGCCCTCTCAATTATAGGGTTAACTGCCATGTTATTGTTGTTGTCATACTCTTGCCTAGGTTTTCTGTAATTTGGTGGAGGGTTAAATATCACTGCTACTACTACTATTGGTCTTTACACACAGAAATCACAATAGCGTGATGCATCACATGAACAAATCCACGATGGTCTTCCCATTGTCATGGTGCCTGTTATGTAGTACTTGTTATGTAGTAATTGTTTGCTGCTTGCTTAAAATATTGTTTGCTGGTGGCTTAAAAAAACACTGCTGGCTTAAAATGTGACCACAGCCTTCAGAACTGCCAAAGAACTCCCTAAACTACATAGTTTGGGGAGTTCTTTGGCAGTTTGCAAGACTGTGGTCACATTTTAAGCCAGCATTAGTTCTTTGCTCCTGCTGACTTTGAGTGCCTTTCCTGGTGGTGGTATAAATAAATGTCCCTGCTGCCTGCACCTCAATGAGGGGGCCAGGTTATAGTTTTTGGTCCCTAGTAGGGCAATGGAACTCCACAATTGATGGATCTAGTAGTATGCACGTTATCAGAGAGAGCTTCAAGGAGCCACTGGAACTCGCCCAGAAATTGGCATTTCATTACATTTAACACTCGGTTTATTTTTCAAGATGACTGCTGTTTGCTATTTCCCCAGGCCTGCATCTGGGTGTTCCCTTTACCACATATGACTGAAATCTTGAGCAATATTTTAAATTGTCCTATGTTGACTCGTGCGGTAGGGATAGAAATGTCACAATTATACCTGTTTGACATACGCATCTGAAGGATTAGGTGAGGTTTGCTTAAACATCACATTATACATTTTTGGCCATAGATTTTGTCAGATAATATCACTTGGATTATATATAATATACAATAATAAGAATTGTAAATATATTAGTTTATTTGTTTGAAACTTAGGTTGGATCTGTGGCCCACATCCTAAGCAAAATTGGTGCATCACTCACTATACTGAACATTGTTCGGTGGAGTGGGCAAGTAAATTCAGCCTGCAAAGTGTGTGTGGCAACCAGATGTTCTCCAGAGAGAGGTTCTTCCATGAATAGGGGTTGAGAGCAGGGGGGATGATTCATTACAAGGTTTTACTGTAACCAAGGTTCCCTGCTTCTGCTTCTGATTTTACAGATGGATCTTTAAACCCATCAAAAAAGCTCATATATCATTCTTGGTAGCAAGTGGTAGATAAAGCAGCATTCCTTTGTAGGAATTCTTCATATAAAAGAATTCTTCTATAGGAAGAATTCTTTGTAATAATTCTTCCTACAAAGGTTCCATGTGAACTGGTTGAAATGTAGAGTTAATACTAGAGGTCACCCCCTCAAGTTAAACCTCTAGATACAGGACATTAAAGGGATAGTGAAAAGCTTTTATTTGTATTAACAGACAAGAACAAGATGAAGAGAAAGGAAAGCGGGTCCTGGGTGATGAACAGTTTGTAACAACGTTGCCTTTAGAAGGAGAGCCAAAACCTAAACGGGGCAGACGACGAAAACACATTGAGCATCAGGCAGAGCTGAATGAAGCAACATACCATCTCAAATTAGAAAATCAGCAACTACAAACAGGTGTAAGTATCTTGACATTTTATGTTAACAATCAATCAGTAGTTCTTCAATATTGTACAAGCTTATTTTCAGGTGAGGTTTTCTTTTACTGCAAAAGTTTTCTTCCTACACAATACATCTTCGTTTCAAATTGTATGTACAGTACATACATATTCATTTACTTTTACACTGCACGATTTTCTGGTGCCGAGATTTTGTGGTTATTGCAGCTTGTTCATTTGGAATTGACTTTCTTCCCCACTACTCCAGTTTCGCTCCCCTTCCCCCCAAATGTTAGCCCAAACCAAATGAATTGACGCCTTCAAGAAGAAATCATACTTGAGGCAAATTATTGTTGCCATTTACAAACAACCCTAACTTAGACGTTGCAGACAGCCATCGCATGGTAGTCCATTTCACCCGGTATCTTGACCCAACGCGTCCTCTCAAATAGTACATTGCATTTTGACGTACTGTATCAGGACGTACTTTTCGCCCCAAGGCTAAAAGCTGATGTACTAAAAATCATAGCTGCTCACAAAATTGAACTGATGTCCTGTTTTCTATTCATGGGTCCTCAGTTAGGTTCGGACAATTTAGTACAACAGTTTAGTGATGAATGTTCGAGAGGATGAGCTGCTTGACCAGTTACCCACCTCGCTTGCTCATCTGTGCTTACCTATCAGTGACTGCAGGAAGTGAGATCTAGCTCTTCATGCCCCACCTCCTAGCCATGTATACCTGATAAACCTAATTATGTCTCAACATTGACATTTTTATCATATTTTCTAAAGTTGTGGATGGAATTGGCTTCAACAGCCTCTTCCTTCAATGCATTACTCTTGTCAACTACCCATACAGGGGAACAGAACTTCCTTATATATCTAAATAAATTGCCATCCACACTTCTGTGGAAATAAACGTTCCATTCACCTGGACTGTATGGATCTTGAACCGTGGGCCACACACGTGTGAGGCCGTAGCTCTATTGACTCGGCTATGAGCAATCTTAATAAGGAAAGTTCTTCTTCGTTAGTAATTCTTCTGGGCTTCCAGGAGTAATCAGGGAAAGTCGAAAATTCCAGTTTGGAAGCAGGATGCTGCTTCTGGAAACTTTTAAAGACTGACTGCTCATAACCCAGTTGATATTAGTCACGGCCTCACACGTGTGGGGTGCACGGTTCGAGACCCATACAGTCCAGGTGAATGGAATTCCTTGTATCTCTTTGATTCAGTTCCATGTCCAGCTTCTGTTAATGTCCCCTGTGTCTACTTTTTTAAATATAAATAGGTCTTTGTCCACTTTGTCTATTCTCCTCGAGCTCTTGTATATGGTTATTCAACCTGTTCTCGCACTTTCTTAGTCAATATTGACTTATTTAATACGTGCATATGTGACATACTAAACATACTAGTTTACCTTGAAAAGCTTCATAGAAAACCCCGACCTTACCTAACCTTCTTAGTATGTTAAGATAAGCATCTTATTGCTTCGTAATTACAATTATTACTTAACCTATACCCATAATAGGTTAAGTATTACAATTATTACTTAACCTATATCTATAATAGGTTAAGTATTACAATTATTACTTAACCTATACCTATAATAGGTTAAGTAATAATTGTAATTACGAAGCAATAAGATGCTTATCTTAACATACTAAGAAGGTTATCTTGAGTTATCTTGAGATGATTTCGGGGCTTTTTAGTGTCCCCGCGGCCCGGTCCTCAACCAGGCCTCCACCCCCAGGAAGCAGTTGGTTGGAAACCAACCAGTTGGAAACCTCTGAACTTTCTTTAGTGTGTTTATGCTTCACATGGTGTGGGGTTTATGCTGATGTATCATACTCAAGTAATGATCTCACATATTCAGTCTGTTTGGACCTGAAAATCTCATTGTTTACATTCTTAAATGTTCTTATAAATAAATAAATATAAATAAATATGTTTATTCAGGTAAGGTACATACATACAAGTGATGTTAACTTCCCATTACTCTCAAGCCTGACATATCCTCTGACTATGACCATTTGTTTCCTGTCTGTCAAGTACTCTCATACCCAGTCCAGTACCAGTCATGTTATCCTCACTAGTCTCTCCATCTTGTATATTAGTCTTTTGTGAAAAACTGTATCAAAAGCTTTTTAGCAGTCTAGGAAAATGCATTTAACCATCATTCTCTCTCTCTCTTGTCTTATTTTGGTGACCCTGTTATAAAATTCATTTCAGTTTGTTAAGCATGATGTTTTCCCCTCTGATGCTGTGTTATGCCTCTATTATAAAATTTACTCTCTCCAAAAGTTCTACCATCCTAATTAATATGATTTTCTGTGGGGAGCCCCTACGGCTCCTTGGAGCTTATCGGGCTAATGTATGTTATATTAGACCGGGACATTAGCTAAGGAGTTCAGACCTACCAGGGACCAGTGCCAGAACCTGGCCCCTTCAGAGAGGTTTCAGAGAGCAATGGCCCTGGAAAACCCCTTTGTGGTTGGGGTTTTCCTTATCTGCCATCGACCGGGGTCAGGCACCCAGAAAGGTAGGCATAACAAAAGAAACCCCACATGGTAAAAAACTAAAACAAAAACGAACAGAGAGGTAGAAACTCCCTACAATCACAAGGAAACAAGCAAATAAGCAAACATCATACTTTACTGCCACGCCGATCGTCCGCGCAGCCCTCCCCGCCCCGAGAGTGGGAGGGGGGAGCCCCAGACCTACCGCGCCGGCTACTAAGCTTCAGTTCGTTCGCTAATGACAACCGGGATAGACACTTCTTTGGCCTCAGTTTCCTAGGTGGTGTTTGCCTTGTGTGGCGTTCACTGCTGTGTTGTGCGGTGGCCAGGAGTACCTCATCAGTGCCGAGGCTGCATGCGCTTAGTGGTTGACTTCCCTAAGCGCCCTGTGAGTACTGCCCTTGTGTAACAGGGTTATCTTCCCTGGGGCGTTCGGGAACCGTTCCCATAGAGGTTCTTGCTGCTCGGCATTTGCCTTGCCCTTGGGGCCAGCTGGAGCTTGGGGCCCTTGTTTGGCCCTGGGTAGGGATTGGTATTATGCTGGTTAGGGCGTCAAGGTGTTGCACAGCCTGCCACCTAAGCGGCGGCCAGTTCCTGTTGCCTCTGGTGACGGTGTACTTTTGCGGGGGTTTTCTTTTTTTATTTACATGCCTGATGGGGGTCTGCCTAGTGTGGCTATAGTTCCACTGGTAGTGTTTGGTGGCCCTCTGCTAGGCCCCCATGATTGTACACGTCGCAGGGGTTTTCAGTGCTATCCTCTACCCTCTTGTTATGTTTGGGTTTCTTAACCGGTTAGCAACACCTTGCCCGGGCTTCCCATAGTTGTTACTCTTATGGGCCCTGGAAACCCCTGTCTGGGTTCGGGGCACCGTTGAATGTGTCTTCCGGGTTCCAACCCATCTTGTACGGGATCGGTGGTTGCTGTGCCCTTGTCTCTGGGTGACAAGGGCACAGCAGCTGTTGTATATACAAACAGTCGCCACTTTTACCTCCGTCATGCTGCCTGTTGGGTCACTGACACCTTGACCCGGAGTCTTGCGAGAGATTCTCTGCTTGTTCTCCAGTACTCTCCTGATGTTATTACTGTTCAGAGTACAGGTGGCATCCGTGTTGCAAGCTAGGTTAGGTTGCTGCAACATGCTAGGTTGGTTTCCCACTCGGATGCCCCGAGGCCGCCCCGTTTGGTTAGGTGCTGTTCGCCCCTTTCCCTCCCTGTTCCCGGCTCTGGACTGTCTGTGGGTTTCGGGGTCGGGGTGGGGTTTAGTTGGGGCCGAGACTTGGGCGATTTTCGGGGGCTGCCCTGTTCGGGTTGGGGGACGGAGGTTTTTCGAGCCAGTTCCTTCTGCCAAGGCTTCTGGGTCTTACCAGCGGCCCTTTCTTGCTGCCTTTCCCATGGACTCTTGCTTTTCTTTAAGGGCGAAGGGCTTGGAGGACGGCTCTGCCCCGGGGCCTCTGTTGTTGGTTCCTGGGGCTGTGGGGGATGCCTGCTAGCAGTTCTGGGGCGGTTTGCCCCCTGCCTGGGTTTTCTGCTGTTGGGTGGCGTTTTTCGCCCATCCGGTCTGCTTGCTTCCCACTTTTGCTGGCATGTTTTTGTATTTTTAGCATCGGCCACAGCCTCTGCTGGCGGCCATTTTTGTCTGCCGGTTTCTCGGTGTGGCCACCAGGGCGGCGTTGCGGTTTGTTTACATGCGACTGGGTGTGCGAGCGAGCTTCTGGGGTGAGTTTTCACCTTTTTTCAGGTTTTTTTATTCTCCTGTTGTCGTTTCTTTGCTTTTCTGGTGTTTTCTGCCCGTTGCCTGTTCCTCTGGGAACGTTTGGGTGTTGATTTTACACCAGGTTTTCCATTTTGTCTGTTTTGGGTCTGGGACTTTGGGTTTGGACTCAGTGTCCCCTGGCTGGTATGCTTGCTTCCACACCTTGTCCCTCGGTTTTCGGTTTGTTATGACCGTTTTCCCAGGGGGTTCTGTCTGGGGGCTGTGCTTTGTCTTCTGTGGTGTCCTCCGCCGGCAAATGTGGTGGTTTGGGCTCCCCCTGGTTCGATTCTGAGTTCCTTTGGGTTCTTTGGTTTCGTTCCGGAGGTTTCTTCCTCTTGGGCCCTCTTTGTGGGATCAGGGGGCTTTGTTTCCTCGTGTGTGACCCGGTTCTGCCTTCTGGGGTTCTGGGGTCTTCCTGGCTTGCAGACTGATCTTTTTGGGTCTTGGCACATGTTGTGGTCGTGCTGGGATTTTGAGGTTTTGCTGTCGAGGTGGGCCTTTTGATGCAGTTTTGTGCCTTCTTTGCCTGGCCGGCGTGGTGCTCTCTGCCCACTGGTCGGCGACTGGTACTTTTCTTTTGCAATGTTCAACTCGCCTAGTTGTATTTGCGGGGGTTGAGCTCTGGCTCTTTGGTTCCGCCATTCAACCGTCATTCACCAGGTGTACAGATTCCTGAGCCCATTGGGCTCTATCATATCTACACTTGAAACTCTGTATGGAGTCAGCCTCCACCACATCACTTCCTAAACA